CTTTCTTTCTTTCTTTCTTTCTTTCTTTCTTTCTAGTTCAAATGAATTCCCATTTTCCAGTTTCCACCTCTGCAGTCTTCACCATCTGTATTAAATGAGCATGTGCCCAAAAGAGCAATAAAGTTTATTATATTAGCCTTTGGGAGACAAATGACTTGTCATAATTTTCCAGGTTAGCTAACATGAAATTCCCACAATACTTCCAATCCTCCGTCTAGGTTGAAGTGTTGACAGAGTGACCACTAAAATCAATGCACAAAGATGGACAAAGCACTCAATAAAGGGCATCCCCTTCTATCTTTTTAAAATAATAAATACTCTTTTACTCTTCTGACATTGTTGAGTGACTTCTTAGTTGTATTGTATTCAGTAGTTTGGGCAATGTAATGGCAGTATTTTCTCTAGTATGCTTCAGGCTATGAGATTTGGTTTCTTTTCTGTTCATTCTACAAGCAAAAGAAAGCATGGTTGGGATAAGTATTGCTAGTGACTATATTCAGAATATGAAATTATGTCTATTTCTTATTGTTATCAACCACTGGTAATGTTTACAATATTTCCTTCTGCATTTTTATATCTGCAGACAGGTAGGTAGACAAAAACATAAATGTCTAGATATAGAGACACCTACATACTTCTTTTCTAGCAAGGAACCTGTTCACCCCCTCCCTCCGTTCTCTGCTTACTCTCTAACATCTGCATCAAAATGCATAAATATACATTGTAAGCCTCCGTTTCTATAGACTCGCAACATTTTCAACCCTTGTCTAAGACCACCAGTCTACTGAAGCAATGCAGAATCTTCCTGTGGGCTATTCTAGAAATGCAGATAAAAACTCTTTCAAAATCGAAAGTACACCAGAATCTAAAATTTATCTGTAATATTAAAAATGTGTTTTGAATAATAATTTTATTTACAGTCTTAAGAGTTAAATTTTAAAGGGATCATACCAGTACATGGAAATTCAAAGCTATATATCAAACTGAAAGTAAGAAATTTATGTGTTAACTTTGAAATAAGATGTTTCAATTATAATTAGATCCATAAGTGTTTGCTGATGTTGATGGTGACATTAATTGAAGTTATCTTTATTTGCGTGTGTATATAGGTAACTATGTATCTCTGTGTGTGTGTGTCTGTATTTTTTTGTTGCTGACATTTCTAGCACACTTAGAACATTTTTCACAAAGTTGGTCTTATTATGTTCATGTCATTAATGATCACCTTCCTTGTTGACCTGACTGATCATCTACAAACATCATACCTCTGAGTGTGTGTTTGAGGGCATTTCTAGAGAAGTCTAACTGAAGAGGAAATGCCACCCTGAATATAGGTGGCACCACACCATGGAATAAGATGAAAGAAACCTTATGAGCACAGCTCTCTGGTTCCTTTCTGCCTGCAGACCCAGAATGATCGTTCTCATACCATACCTGTCTGTCCTGATGGACTGTATCCCTCTTAAATGGAGCCCATATGAACTCATCCTTACTTGAACTGCATTTGCTAGGAATTGCTCGCAGCAATGATGAAAGTAACTGATATAGTACCGCATCCTAGAAATGCTCAAATGTCTTTAGTATTCAAGAAAGGATAATGAAAATTGACTAAGAATATTTTAAGGTTCAAATACATAAAAATGTTGCAGTGATGTGATGTGGTATAATTTAGAAATATCCCCTCACAAATACACATTGTAGGCAAGAAGCTCATGACCCTGGGTAAATGCTACTATGTGAACTATTCAGTTGAATTCAGATTCATTTTAGGGGCTATAACCCATAGCCAAGTGAAAGCTTAGCAAGATTTGGGGGGAACTTCACATTCAAGTTTCTAACACATCCTTTCCTGAGAAAATCAACTCCTGAATAAAGAAAGCTAGGAAGGCAGGCATACAGTGCAAATTCTCATTGAGATTATAAAAAAACATATTTTGTGCCCTCTCAATTTCTTCAAAAATTCAAAGTAATAAAATATTTTTCATTTGAATTTTCTATTTTTGACAGTTACAGATTGAAAACATGTTTTCAAGTGCACTTCATAAAATATGTTAATACTTTTTTCAGGTTAGAAATAGAAAAATTACAACTTTTGAAGATGGTAAAGATTGGGGTATTTTTTGTAACCAGACCCTTCCTATTTTTATTTTAATAATTTCTTTTTATTATGAGATTACAATATAATTGCATCATTCCTCCCTTCCCTTTATATCCTTCAAGGCCTCCCATATACTCCTAATAGCTCTTTTTTTTCAAATTCACACTCTTATTTTTCATTAAATGTTGTTTTACACACACACACACACACACACACACACACACACACACACACACCTGTACAGCGGACTACTTGGTGTTAGATAACCAACTGGTGTCTCCTTTCCTAAGGATGACTGTCTCTCATTCCCGCAGCATCCTTAGTCCATTGTAGGGCTCTGTCTAGGGTTGAGGCCTCCTGAGCTTCCCTCCTTTCACATGACCAGGTCTAGTGGTGTTATCCTTGCTTAGGTGATGCTCAGGCATCCATATTGCTGAGACTTCATGGGTGTAGCTTCTGCCTTTTCTAGGAGACGCAATCTCATAGCATAGTCTTAATGAACCTGGCTCTTATAATCCAAGATCCATTACTTCATTAACCCCTGGGTAGTTGGCTAGAGTTTCAGTACCAAGAATGATTTTTTTCTTGTTGAGCAGGCCTTGTGTCCTACCAGACAGATGATAGTTATCAAGGTATATGTGTCACTCTTAGGATTATCATGTCTTGATAATGACATGATAATGTTGTTTATCATCATTGTGGTTCACCTGTATCATAGTTGGGTTGCATTGTTGGGTCCTTCCCTCTCTTAGAATCTTGCATAGTGCGTTGTGCCTCTAGGAAAGGCAATGCTCAGGGAGGATGCTTTCAGTAAGGGCCAACTCAGTTTCTTAGGCACTGGGCCTGAAGTTGTATGGTCGATCAATCAATAGGGACTTACATTCAACCTCTGGGAGGCATTCGAGAACAATAGAAATAGTCTGTGGTATTGGGGAGTCTCTTGGACAAGTGTGACCAACTCTCAAAATAGGGTTTGTCTTGTCTGGTGTTGGGGATTTTGTTAGTCTATGGCTCTTCAGGCACATAGTGCCATTGTCAAACCAGAAAAGAAAATTTCATCTAAACTACATATTTGCATACTGACTTATACATATTACAGGTATTTCCAGGTATGATTCTTTGTGACTTTCTGGGCATCCTTGCTATGATTTTACACTCCTTCTGTACTTTCCTCGTACTCCAAGCCTAGTTGTCCCCCATGATTTTCTACTTCTGCCCTCAAATTACTTGCACCCTGATATTCTCCCCTAGATCCCTACCCCATCATCATCATTCCTTTTCACTGTCCTGGCTTGGGAAGGCAAATCGTTCCTGCTGGCTGTTCACTCTGTTGTCTGATTCCACTAAATTCATGGAACATTTTATCACTTTCAAAAATTTCCCCAAAATATCACATTTTGCTGAAATGAAGATGATAGTTGGACTTTTTCTGAAGCCTAACTAGTAACACAGTTTTGTACAAAGTCAAGAGCATTAATTCAAAAGTATTTTCAATCACTTCTGATTCTTGTATATATTTTTCTTTCATTTGCATGTGTGGGGGGGTATGCATTCATCTTTGCTCTGTGGGTATATGGAAGCCCAAGACTAACATTAGCAATTGTGGTTTATTTGTTTTTCTTGTTGTTGTTTTGTTTGTTCTTTTTTTTTTCTCTGCTCTTCC